GCTGCTGCCGCTGCTGCTGTGTCTGCTGCTGCTGCTGCTGCTGCTGCTGCTGCGGGGGCTCACGGTGGTGCTGCAGCCGCGTCGAAGTCCCCTGCGTGGTCGACCTGCTGATTTGCGACGAAGGCCATCGGCTGCGGTCTCTGCGCTCGCAGACTTCGCTGCGGCTGCAGGCGATCCGCAGCCGGCGGCGGCTGCTGCTGTCGGGTGAGTGCGTTGGCGCTTCGGCGCAGCAGCTGCAGCAGCTGCAGCAGCTGCAGCAGCCGCAGCAGCCGCAGCAGCCGCATGCATCGCCCGCGCTTCAGGAACGCCGCTGCAGAACAACTTGGTGCTGCTGATGCCCCTGCAACGCCACAAGTCCCAAGTTCATCTGCTGCTGCTTCAGGAGGAACTCTACAGCTGCTGCCACTTCGTCCGCCCCGGCGCTTTGCCGGACGAAAGGGCCTTCAAAAAGGTTTTCCTGGAGCCCATTTTGCGCGGCTGCCGCCCCGACGCCACAGCAGCAGAAGTGAACCTCGGTAGGTGTGCGCAGCAGCAGCAGCAGCAGCAGCAGCGTCCAACACGTCCGCCCCGCTGCGCAGCTAGGGAAAGAGAGGCCGAACTGATGGCGAACATGGTCAGTTGCTGCTTTCCGAAGCGCCAAAAACCCTTTTAATGTCCCTTTAGTCGAGCTTCATGCTCCGGAGGACCTCAAAAGTCCTGGAAGGCCTGCGTGAGTCGGCTTTCCTGTTGCTGCCGGAAGCAGAAACTTGCTGCTGCAGTTCCCCGCAAGCGGGTAGTCACAGTGCACGTGGAGCTGTCGCCAAGCCACAAAAAGGCTTATAATGCCTTTTGCAAAGAATGCACGGCGAACTTGCCAGCAGCAAAGGCCAACTGCCTCGCGCTGCTGACGACTCTCCGGTGAGCTGCTGCTGCAGCTTCCGTTCAACTTCCCTTTTGTGCAACTTCGCCCGATCTCCCCTTCCGAAGCCGCATTGTGAACACCCCCGACGCAGTTTTTGCAAAACGCGCCCTTTCCAACGGAGCTGCGGACGCGGCGGCGGCAGCGCGAGAGGAACTCGCAAACTTGAACGAGGAAAGCGCCAGCAGCAGCAGCAGCAGCAGCAGCAGCAGCAGCAGCAGCAGCAGCCCTGAGGCTTCTCTGCCCGTTCCGCCGGGCCCAGCGTGAGCCCACGCAGGGGAAAAGGCCGTTTGCTTTTTCAGCCGTTTGCTCGCTGCAGGTTTGAAGAGCCTTCGAACAAGTTGCTGCTGCTGATGCGCATCATGGCGAGGCTGCGTGCAGATCCTCCTGAAAAGGTGGATTTGATTTCTTTCTTTTTGCACTTTGCGTTTCGAAACGGAAGTTGAACCGGAAAGGGCAGGTCGTGGTGGTCAGCAACTCCACCGCGGTGCTCGACAGAGTGCAGCAGCTGCTGCAGCAGCAGCAGCTGCGCTGCCTCCGGCTCGACGGATCCACCCCCGAAGCAGCCAGGGCGCACCTCGTGGACCTCTTCAACAGCAGCAGCAGCACGAGGGCTTTTCTGTTGTCTTCGAAAGCTGGAGGAACTGGTTTGAACTTGACGGGGGCCAGCCGCCTGGTCCACTTCGACCCTGACTGGCAAGTCGCCGTTCAGCTTTTTCTGCATGCAAAAGAGCGATCTTTTCCTTTTTTTTCGCCAGGAACCCCGCCAACGACCAGCAGGTCTTTCTTTTCTTTTTTGCGACGCAATTTCCGCTTTTTTCTCCAATTTCCGCTTCGTTTTTCCCAATTTCAACTTTTCCAAAAGGCACTTTCCCGCATCTGGAGAGACGGACAGACTCAGCCAGTCTACATCTACAGACTCGTCGGCGCCGGCACTGTCGAGGCCCGCATCATTCGGAGGCAGCTCTTCAAGAACTCACTAGCCAAGGTAACTGCTGCTGCTGCTGCTGCTGCTGCTGCTGTTTCTGATGCTGTTGCTGCTGCTGTTTCTGCTGCTGTTTCTGCTGCTGTTTCTGCTGCTGTTTCTGCTGCTGTTTCTGCTGCTGTTTCTGCTGCTGTTTCTGCTGCTGTTTCTGCTACTGTTTCTGTTTCTGCTGCTGCTGCTGCTGTTGCTGTTGCTGTTGCTGCTGCTGCTGCAGCAGCTGCTGCTGCTGCTGAGGCCTGACTGAGCTGCGCAGACGTTTGTGGACGGGCGGGAAGGCAGCAGCGGGCGGTGGACGGCGGAGCAGCTGAAAGATTTGCTGCGGCCAATAGAAGGTAAGTGTGCGTTGGGGTGTACGTACAGCTGGGTGTGGGGTGACTGCAGCAGCAGCAGCAGCAAACGAGCAAAAGGACCTTTCGGAAACTTCAACTTCTTTCTTTCCTGGACAAGAACTTCCGCCTTCTTGGCTTGAAGGCTTTCATCTGCAGCAAGAAGCTTCAGTCTTGAGACAAGTGGATCTCGAGGTAAGTCCTTTTGCTTCTGCTGCTGCTTCCTTGCTGCTATTCTCGAGTCCCGCGCTGCTGCGCTCCTGCTGCTGCGCTGCTGCAGGAAGACACCCTGCAGGCCGCAACACAGGCTGCTGCTGCGCAGCCGTCGGCTGCTGCGCCTCTGCAGCAGCAGCAATTTTAATTTAAAATAAATATTTCTTCATTTCCTTTTTTCCTTTATTATCATTGCTTCCAATAATCCAATGATAGATGCAAAGAAACAAGGGACTGTAACTGCTTCCACACCCTGCTGCAGCTGCTGCCGCTGCAGCTGCTGCTGCAGCTGCTGCTGCTGCGGCCACCGCCACTGCCACCGCCTCCACTGCTGCTGCTGCTGCTGCTGCTGCTGCTGCTGCTGCTGCTGCAGGGTCAGGCGAAGGGCGCGTTGGGGGGGGGCTGGAGGGGGGGAAGGAGTTCTTCGATTTTTTGTTTGAGTTGGGGGGCGTTGGCTCCGAGGACTTGTGCAAGAAGAGTCCCGTCTTTGAAGAAGAGGAACTTGGGAGTTGCTGAGGCCCCGAGAGCAGCAAGTTCGGGAACTGCTGCTGCTGCTGCTGCTGCGAAGCAGCAGCGCTCGCGGAAGCCGTCGAGGGTCAGCAGCAAGTCCCGCAGAGTCGGCAGCACCGCGTTGCAGGGGCCGCACCAGGAGCAGTAGAGGTCGATCACGAAAAGTCGGGGGTCGTCTGCTGCTTTCACGAGCTCTTCGAAGTGAGTTTCGTTTTCTATTTCCACCCTTTCGACTTTTTCCGCCATTTTTAACTCCGAAATGCACTTTTAGCGCCCCAAACGCGGTTGCAGCAGCAGCAGCAGCAGCAGCAGCGGCAGCGGCAGCCAGCGAGCCGCCGCAACCACTCCAAACACGCAGCACCGGATCTGCACTCCCGCGCGCAGAAGGCAAAATTAAAAGAGCTTGCCAAACACGAAATTGAATTTTAATTTCGAAAATATATAAACTGCATGCGAAGTCCCGGAAAATCGATGCAGACCCGCAGCAGCAGCAGCAGCAGCCGCAGCAGCAGCCGAGGTGACCTCGCGGGCCCGCATGCAGCGCCGGAGCCGCGGCGCGAGTCGGCTGCAGCAAATTGGGAGTCAAATTGCAAATAAAAGTCAATTTTTGGGTTTTTGTTTCTTTTTAAAGTTCAGTTTCCGCAGAAATGGCGAACTATTTCGTCGAAGGCCGCTGCGACTGCCCCCGGCTCGCCCGCTGCCAACTCCTCGCCGACAGACTCACCGCCCTCGTGCCTTCTCTTAAAATTCACTTTCGCCTCTTCGAGCCTTCCGAGTTCAAAGACAGACTCAAAGTCATCGCCCGCAGCTTCCCAGCGCTCGGTAAGCAGCAGCAGCAGCAGCAGCAGCAGCAGGAGCGGCAGCAGGAGCGGCAGCAGCAACTGGGAGAGGCGGGGCGGTCGGCAGCTCCGGACACGCCAAAGGCGTAGTGTGATATGGCCGCCTAGCTGGCCAGCTAGCCAGCTAGCTAGCTAGCCATTTAGCTAGCTAGCCAGCTAGCCAACTAGCTAACTAGCTAGCTAGCTAGCCACCTAGCAATAAGAAAGTCCTGTCAGCTGGCTAGCCACCAGCTAGCTAGCTAGCTGGCTGCCTAGCCCACGAGCCTCGCAGCCCTCCAGCTAGCTAGGCAGCAGGCGAGATGCGCAACTACAGCTCGCGATTAGGGTTTAGGGTTTAGGGTTTAGGGTTTAGGGTTTGGGCGTTTTGTGCAGACCCCGCGCTGCACAGCGAGGGCCCCGTGGTGTACACCAGCGGGGGGGTCTTTGTGGGGGACGACAGCAGCTTTGCTGCAGCAGCAGCAGCAAAGTACAAAGTAGCAGCAGCAGAACCGGACTTGGAGGGGGCCGCCTTAGCTGCTGCAGTTCACAAGTTGGTGCTTTTCAATTCGCAGCAGCAGCAGCAGCAAAAAGAAAAAGACAAATTCGGGGCCCCCCTGGCTCTCCAGGCAAACGCGAGGACGCAGCAAATCCTCGCAGCAGCAGCAGCAGCAAACCCCACTTGCCCCCACCACATACAGCAGCAGCACCGGCTGCTGCAGCAGCAGCAGCAGCAGCGCCAGCGGCAGGTCTGGGGGCCCCACTGGGGAGGCCCTAACGGGGACTACGCGGGGACCCCCGGGGGGCCCCCCGGGGGGCCCCCCGCACCCTGGGGGGCCCCCCAGGGAGGCCCC